GGACAACGAGAACCCCTGCCTCCTCGAGCTTGCAGAGCTAGACCTCGGGCTCGCAGACGAGCAGCGAGAGATGCTCAAGCCGCCAGAGGAGCGCATCAAGAATGCCCAGTTCCCGCGCGCCCTGGAAGGCCGAGTCAGGCTTCGCAAGGGAAGCAAGCGCAAGAACAAGTGGGCGAGCAAGTTCCGAGGCCAGTACGCGGGCAAGCTGGCGGCCAAGTGGAATAAGGCGAATCGCGAGCAGAAGGGCCGAGACGCACTCGAGAGCAAGAGCCGAGGCATCGCCAGAGCGAAGCTGACAGGGCGAGCCCCCAAGCCGAAGACCTCCTTCTCAGAAGGGCTCAAGCAGAAACTGAAAGCGAAGCGAAACAAGACGGCAACATACAAGAAGAAGCAGAACGAGTGCCTCGAGCCTTGCAAGGACTCGCCCTGGCACGGCAAGATCGCGCGGGTCGACGAGGAGTGCTTGCACGAGGGCAGGCACGGCAAAGTTCAAGACGTCTGGCGCGTCAAGGACTGCGAGGGCGAGTGCCAGCTCCGGGTGCTCGAGGTCGAGACGGCGGCGATCTGCCAGATCCGTTCCAGCCAGGCTCGAGGGGCAATGGGGCAAGGCCGGAAGCCGAGCAGAAGGGCCAGCCGAAGCAGAGCGGAAGTTGACGCGGAAGCCGAGCGGGAGCTCGCGCGGAAGCCGAGCGGAAGGGCAGCGGAAGCCGAGCGGGAGGTCGCCCCTAGTGACCCATCGGCCCTCGAGCCTGGGAGGTCGTGGTCGAGCAGGAGTGGGCGCCCGCCAAGCCCCTCAAGATAGATTGGCGAGTGTGCAGGATGTTCAAGCGCACCGAGCTCGCCAAGCACCTGGCGATCACGAATCGCGAATTCGTCGAGAAGAACCGCACCCTCGAGCTCGGCACAGTGCGAGCCCTGATAGGCGAGATCGAGGAGCGAGTGGGCGTTCCGGAAGATGTCCTGCTGATCGAGCCGACAATCGCTGTCACCTGGGCTCGAGGAGACCAAGGCGACGACGAGCCCACGACCGAGGCCCAGAGCGAGCAGAAGGCCTGGCTCGAGAAAGTCGAGAACGCTAAGCACATCCTCATTTGCGTCCACAGCGAGAACCCAGCGCACTACACCTACCTCAAGGTGACCAAGGAGCACGCCAACAGGGCCATCGAGTACCGAGACGCCCTCAAGGCACCGTCCGAGTCCGCCAGGCAGGCGGCCACGAGGATCCTCCAGAAGCTCCTGGGCCCTGAGGTCGAGTGCCCCGCTCCGAGCAACACGAGGTTCCAACTTGACGGGTGGTCCTGCGGCCTGTGGGTGACGAGGCGGTTCGAGCGCGCCCCGCGCGAGACCCGCGGCGAGGGCCGCCTGCCTCCGAGCACCATCCAGGACATCTACTCGCGAGGCAACGAGTGGATCCAGAAGCTGCTAGATGCGAGCGACAACGCTGCCGCCCAGGCCAAGGCAAAGGGCAAGGCCAAGCCCAAGGGCAAGGCCAAGAGCAAGGCCAAGGATCCGCTGGAGGCCGAGCCCAAGCACGCCACCCTCGAGGCCGCCCTGCAAGCGGCCAAGGATTGCAAGAAATGCGAGATGCTCAAGGACGGGCCCAAAGGATGCAGGGCGTGCATGGGCGAGCAGTTCGAGGCGGTGCGCAAGAAGGGTTTCCTTGCGAGGGCAGCCAAGGAGTTCGAGAGCAGATTTATGAACATTTGACTGCGAGCAGTCTCAGCTGTTCCGAGCTTCTGCGCGAAACCCTAGCAAAGGAAAAAATGCGATTCCGAAAATGTCTCAAGCAATTGTTCGAGGATACCTCAAGCGAGACAAACACTTATTTGAAGGATGTCCCCAGTGAAATAAGCAATTGGATGACGATGTCTCAGGCGAAACCAACAAATATTTCGATGAGGTCTCCAGCGAAACAGACAATGATTTCGAGGATGTCTCAAGCGAAACCAGCAATTCGCTCGGGATGTCGCAAGCGAAACAAACTTTTATTGCGAGGGTGTCTCAAGCGAAACGAAAGATTTGTCGAGGATGCCTCAAGCGAGACAAGGAATGATTTCTTCAGGGGCGTCTCAAGCGAAACAAGCAAGACTGATCTCCGCAGTCATTTGGTGGCTCAAGATTCCGAGCCCCCCAAGAGTTTCACAAACCAAGACCCAAGCCGACGCGACAGAGCGCCGAGGCTCCGAGTATCGAGGATGTCTTTGCCGAGCTTCTTCGACATGGATGAGATGCCCGAGATGAGCACGCAGCTACCGCCCGAGGCGCCCAAGGAGAGCGAGAAGCGCGAGGACCCCAAGAAGGAGGAGAAACCGCTCCAGGACTCCAAGGGGAGCGGGAACGAGAAACCGCTCGAGGACGTCAAGAGCCAGAAGCGAACCAGAGAGTTGGAGGAGATCCCGAGCAGCAGCGACAACGAGGAGAAGCGAGCCTACCAGAAAGCCAAGCGCCGCCAGTCCGCACCGCAACCAGAGGACGAGAAGCCCAAGGACGGCGAGCCCGAGGACGACAGCGGCAAGCGCCCGAAGCTTGAGCCCGAGCCTGTTGCAGAGGCGCTCTCCGAGCGGCTCCAGCGCAAGTGGGCGCTCGAGGGCGCGCCCTAGTCTTAGTAGGTTTTTCGAGCGTGTCCTGGGGGATGTTTCCAGCGAGATCAGCAAAGGTTGAAACGAGAGATTTGTCGAGGATGCCCCAAGCGAAAGAAGCAATGATTTCAAGGATGTCTCAAGCGAAACGAGAGATTTGTCGAGATTGCCTCAAGCGAAACAAGCAATGAATTCAAGGATGTCTCAAGCGAAATAAGCAATACTTCGAAGGCGTCTCAAGCGACACAGACAAATATTTCGAGGATGTCTCGAGGGGAACAAGCAATTCGCTGAGGATGTCAACCGAGACAACTCAATGTTGAGGATGTATCATACAGGACCAAAGACCAAGGATCCTCAATACATATATATATATATATATGGCTTTTTCCTCTTGATATCTCTTTACGCTGGCTCTGGCGGGCAATTTTTATGATCTCCCCGACAACCCCGAAATTTACTATCCCTGGGAGGTTATTCTCGTGGGTATGGGACTAGTTTCAGGGAACTGCAAAACGGCGCAGAAGGCGCGCACTTTTTGCGCCTGCGATAACGGTCGCAACGGGCACTCTGGCAGCGTGGTTCGGAGAAGCATCTGGAGGGTCAAGGGCCCGATGGGCAACCTCTCGTTTGAACCAAAACACGCAATCCGCGACAGCGTTTCATCTGATTCCGCGGCGGGGCCCAACGATGCAGACCCCTCTCCTTCCCTCCCCGGATGGCGAGGTCTGACTTGACTGCCGAACGGAACGTCGCTATGCTGCCTCACCAGTAGTCCTCGGAAGCGGCGTCAATGGGGCGCAGGGGCGCAAGAGGAGAAGGGGCGAAGAGTTGGATGGGGCACCATAGGCACGTTACCTGTAGGACAAAGGGAAAGCATGGGCACGTTACCTCTAGGCATAGTTGGACAGGGCGAGGAGTTGGACGGGGATGCATGGCGGGGGCAAGAAGATATAGCAGCAGGAAAAAAAGCGGCCGGGGACAAAGGGGTGACGACGAGAGGCGGGCAGCGGAAGCAGGGGGACCACATTTCGAGGCACGCCGGCAAGCGGGCGCAGTCGATACAAGAAGGCCGCAAGGCCGAGCTGCTCTGCCAGCAGCTCGGCCTCTTTCAGGCACTTCTCAGTGCGTGAGCTAAAAGCACGCAAGCGTTTCGCGAGGTCCGCGGGCGGCCCGCGCGAAAGAAACTGCAGTCACGGGTCCCGGATCATCAGGAGATCCTCGATCCTCGCGGCTCTGGAGAGCATCATGTACAGGTGCAGCCATCGGCCGTCGTGGTTGCCATCGCCCTTGCACCCGGCGTCGACGACGACCCGACGGCGCATGGTCCAGCCCTGGCACGCCGTGGAGGTCAGGACCTGAGCGCGGGAGATGGGGAAGCCGGTGCGCGTGACCTTGCGCTTGCGGAACAGGAACGGACTCGAGGTCTGCGGCTCGATGAACACCAGTCGCGCCGCGTCGGAGGCGTCGATGTCGCCGCCGTGCTCCGCCAGCTTCTTGCCGAAGGCTGGGGCCTTGAACTTGTCCATGCGGACCCAGACGCCGAAGGGCAGGTACCGCAGATAGGCCTGGCGCCCCTTTGCCTTCGCCGAATTCACCTCTTGGACACCGTCCGAACATGTCCGGTCATTGTAGATATTGGTGATGTTGTTCGTTGATGACGCACTGGTTGTGCCCGTCCCCGGTCGGTGGTCCTGTCACGCCGACAGGGGGGAAGTGCACGAAGGCGATGAAGGCAGCGGGGGGTGGAAACCATTGTTTTCGACGCGAGGCGTGGCACGGCGGCCGGGGTGGGAGGAGGGGCGAACCTGGTCCGCTCCCAACCAGAAACGAGGATGTAAGAAGTGATGTGGAAGTGCGAATGCTTTTCCTGAAAACCAAGTGTACAGGTTGATACTGAAGGCGCGTATAAGGCGGGCACGGGAGGACTGCAGGCTCCCGTACCCCCGGGCTAGAAAGGCAGTGGACAAGCTGGGTGAAAAACAAGCACGGCTAAAGGAAGGGGGACACACCTACCGTTCGACTAGGAAGACGGGGGGTAGGAGACGGACACGTGGACAGGGAGTAGAAGTGAGGAGGTACGGATGACAACGAGGGCGAGGAGGAAGAGGGAGGAGGAGGAGGAGGAGGAGGAGGAGGAGGAGGAGGACGAGGACGGGGAGGGGGAGGAGGAGGACGACGACAAGGAAGAAGAGGAGGAAGAAGAGGAGGAGGAGGAGGAAAAGGAGGAGGAGGAGGAGGACGACGACGACGACGACGAGGAAGAGGAAGAGAAGAGAAGGAGGAGGAGAGGAGGAGGAGAACGGAAGGGGGAGGCAGAATGGAGGAGTGAGAAGGGACAGGGAAAAAAAGATTGGGAGGGAGAAGGCGGGGGGAGGATGAACAGAGGAAACAGGAAGGAGCAAAAACAGTCGTCGTGGCCTGCCCGCGTGGCCAGCCAGCTTCGACAGCTGACTCCCGGACGGGCGCGGCAGCCACTCGCCTGGGGAGCTCCAAAAGACGGATCCTTCCGTCTCCCCGCTGCAATCCCAGACCCGCCCCACTCAGTCCCTGCCCTCCCCTCCTCTGCTCCCCCACCCCGCCCCCCTCCGCCTCGACCCTACTCTACGGGAACACAAAAAACAGCATAAACACAATCTCTCGCAAGTCCGTGCGGAATGTTTGGATCGTCGCCAGGCCCCCTCTCCCAGGCGCGCGGAGCGCGCAAGGGGCGGCGCCTGAGGCGCCGCCACGGGTGCCCTGCGCGGGTCCGCGATAATGTGTATGTAATCCCACCAGCCCGTTGGGCTAAAGTGGTCTAGCGAAGTGCTGTTCCTCTTCCAAAAACCCTCTTCCCTTCGGGGAGGTTTACCTTCCCCCCCTCCCTGGGTCTGGACGGGGGGGGCCGAGGGGGCACAGCGCCCGAAATGGCCCAAAATGACCCCAAGACGGCATCCGATGCTCCGAGATGGCCTCCAACATGGCTCAAGATAGCCGACGACGGCTCAAGATAGCTTCTGACAGTCTTCCAAGAGGCCGTACAGGGACCACAGGACGGATAGAGCTCCAAAAGGACCCCGAGATCCCGTAAAGGAGACCTACGGGGGTTCCGAGAAGCGGTTCTGAGGGTTCTGTCCTCGTCCTCGTTGTCCTCCTCCTCCTCCTCCTCCTCATCCTCATCCTCCTCCTCCGCTTCCCCCTCCTCCTCCTCCTCCTCCTCCTCCTCCTCCTCCTTCTCCTCCTCCTCCTCCTCCTTGCGCAAGCGCTGGAGCTGGGACGACGACCTCATCAGCTTCCTTCAAGAACACCGACCCGACCTGCACCCAGCGCCCGCACCAACCAATGAGCAGGGCAAGCCGAACGACCTCACTTGGGTTCGCTCAGCTCAAGACACCACCACGTGGTCGACACTCGAACACAAATACATCAGCACGTCGCCGACATTCACAACCAGGACTTCCTCCTCCTCTCCTCCTCCGTCATAACTTTTTGTGTGTTGCACAGAATCATTTATTGTGTCTCGCAGTTCCTGTGCATGTCTCTATGTTTACAGGAGGCCATGGCCTCACCCACCTGGTCTGAGCAGGCCCGGACAGCTGTCCGATGTGGTGGTTCGTTCGTTCGTTCGTTCGTTCGTTCGTTCCCCCCTCCTCTCCTCCCTCCTCCCTCCCTCCTTCCTCCTCCTCCTCCTCCTCCTCTCCTCTCCTCCTCTCTCTCCTCCTCCTCCTCCTCCTCCTCCTCCTCCTCCTCCTCCTCATCATCATCATCATCATCATCATCTCATCATCATCATCATCATCATCATCATCATCATCATCATCATTCATCATCATCATCATCATCCTCATTCATCATCATCTAGCATCATCATCTCATCATCCATCATCATCATCATCATCATCATCATCATCACATCATCATCATCATCATCATCATCATCATTCATCATCATCATCATCATATCATCATCATCATCATCATCATCATATCATCATTCATCATCATTCTCATTCATCATCATCATCATCATCATCATCATCATCATCATCATCATCATCATCATCATCATCATCATCATCATCATCTCATATCATCATCATCATCATCATTCATCATCAGCATCATCAGCATCATCATCATCATCAGCATCATCAGCAATCATCATCATCATCAGCATCATCATCATCATCATCATCATCATCATCATCACCATCAGCATCATCATCATCACCATCACCATCACCATCACCATCACCATCATCATCATCATCATCACAACCACCACCACCACCACCATCATCATCATCATCATCATCATCATCATCAGCATCAGCATCATCATCATCATCGCCATCATCATCATCAGCAGCATCATCATCATGATCACCATCATCATCGTCATCGTCATCATCATCATCCTCATCAGCGGCCTCCTCCTCCTCATCATCATCCTCATCATCATCAGCATCATCAGCATCGTCATCATCATCATCATCCGCCTCGTCCTCGTCCTCTTCCTCGTCTTTGCCCTCGTCATTTTATTTATCATGTTCCTTTTCTTCGTCGTTGTGGTCGTCGTCAGCGTCTTCGCCCTCCTCATCGTCATCCTCCTCTGCCCGCTTTCCCTGCTCCTCCTCCTGTTCCTCATCCTCCTGCCCCCCCCCCCCTCCCGCACCCCCCACGCGGGCCCCGGGGATGGCTCGAAGGGGCCCTCCCTGGCTACCCCTACTGTTCCCAGAGGTCTCTCTGTTCACCCTGATTGGCCGCTCTGTTTCACCATCCGCGCCTCCTCGCCCCTTTTCCCGTCAGCTCACGCGGGCAAGGTTTTTGAATGAGCTGGCGGGGCTACTTCTGGCCCGTGGGGGCGCGAAGACGAGTCGAACGCCGAGCAAGCCAGGGCGGGCCGCGCTCCGTAGCTAAGGAAAAAACAACGAAGCCATCGGCATCCGGCGGGCAGAAGAGGCAGTGCAGAAGCACCGCCTGGCCCGCGAAGCTGCCGCCAGAACGGCGCGCCGATGGCGAAGAGCACGAAACACAGGGGCGGAACCACCCTTGCCGAACAAGAAGAACTTAAAGCAAGCCCGAAGCACCTTACCGCACGGGTAGGACTCCACCGCGCGCGAGCACCAGAAGCGGGAACGCAGCCACAGTGGCGCGAGAGAACCAAGGCCCCTCGGCGGCCAGGGCGCACGGGTAGCGCAGGCGCCACAAGCCAACCATGTAGGGCACCGAACACGAAGTACCTGCGCAGAGCAAGTCATCCGAGAAGACGCGGACGGCACCCGAGGGTAGACGGGGACAAAACTTGTCGCACAGGTAGGACAAGATGCCACACTTGACCAGCGCCAGCAGGTCATCCGAGAAGACGCGGACGGCGCATATCCGAGGGCTGGGTAGACAGGAACAAAACATGTCGCACACGTACGACAACACGCCAGCTAACGCGACCAGCGCAGAGCGCCCCGCGCGCACGAAACTGGCACCTGAGGATGACCCGCACGACAGGATTGTGCAAGTGAGCGCCGCCCATCAGGTAGCCCGAGGGTGGGGCGGCGAGCGGCCGCGACGAAGCCGGCGCCCGCAAGTGCATGCCAAGGTGGCCGCGACGCCATGGGCGAAGGGCACCACTGGCAAGGATGGGGCACGTTCGTCCAAGCCCGATGGCCGCGCGGAGGGACGGACGACAGCGATGCCCCGGGGGAGCTGGCGCCGCAACAGCCAGACCATATCCACAAGGTTCATCTGGGGCAGCTGATCGCAGCGAGCACGCGGACAGCCTCTGCACGGGAATACCCCAGGTGGAGCAGGCAGCTAATCACCGCAACGCAATGGATGGCCTCGGAAGAGGTATACCCACGGTAGTGCTGGCAGCTGATCGCTGAAGAAACACAGTGGACCTCGGCAGAGGTATACCCAAGGTGAAGCCCCGTCGTGGCGGGCTGTCGCGAACACCGAAATTGATGGCCTCGGCAGAGGTCGACGGTCTACCCATGGGGGCGCTGGCAACTGACCGCTGCATCAACACTATGGACCTCGGCAGAGGCACACCCAAGTCGACGCCCCGTCGCGGCGGGCAGGCGCCGAGCAGCTGATCGCTGCAATGACATCGAAGACCTCGGCAGAGGCATGCCCAAGAGAGAGCCAGCAGCTGATCGCTGCGAGCACATCCAAGGCGATGTCCCATCACTGAGGGCGGGCACCAAGGAAGCGACGCAGGAAGACCCTGGGAAAAGGGATGTGGGGGGGGGAAGGAGGCAGCAGTGCGGGGCTACAGACGGTTTCTCTTGTCGGTGGCGGGTTCATCCCAGCCGTGGCTGCGCTTGCCCTCTTTGCCACTGCGCGCCGAAGAGGCGCCGCGGCCCTGCCCCTTGCCTGGGCGCCCGGCATTGCTCCAGTCGTTCGTCGCGCGCCCCTGGCGCGAGCGCTCGAAGTCGGCGCGGAGCTCGCGCTGGTGGCTGAGAGAGTGGGCGCCGCAGCCGTTTCTGTCGCCAGGCAACCAGGAATTTGTCACAGGTGGCCTGGGACTGCACACGCGGGCCCTTTAGGATGCAACCGGGGCGAGTTGCTCGCCGCCGCAGACACGAGACGACGGAGGCCGTGCTGCAAATGGAACGATCGGGGGCCGCGCACCCGAAGTCATTGCGACCGGAGCCCTTGGTCCCGTCTTCCTGCGCCCCCTCAAGCCGGATCGATCCGATGACACCCCCCCTCCTCTGCCTGCGTTCCATGTGCTTGCGGCGATCGGCCGCCGCCCTGGGGGGGACCGTTTGCCCGATGCAGTTGCGATGAGTGGTCGCGCTGCCAGCCGCGAGCCCCCCCGTTCCTTTGCCGTCGCGGCCGTCAGACGCCCGCCTGGGAGGGGCCTGGGGGCGCGACGCGCCAAGCCAGTGTACTTGCAACGATCAGTCGCACCCGCGGGGGAGACGACGATGCGAATGGTGCGCCAGCTCTGCCTTGTTTCGACCCTGGGGAGGTAATTGATTTCACCCCCACCACCCCTCTCGATCCTTCTCAGGCCTGGGGAATACATGATCGCGCAGAAACACACTGCAACAGTGACCACGACTGCGCGTCCCCGACCGACCATGGCCCCAGAAACCCATCACGCAGGATCGTGACTCCTGGGGGCCGAGCCGCAGCGCGGGGCACGCCGCGCGACAGTGCGAGTCCCAGCGCCCAGGAGCCACGGCGCGGCGGCCAGCGTGTGACGCTGGTGCGTCTGCCTGAAAGCGGCTGGGCACCGGGCCTGGCCCCGAGCACCGGCGATCCCCCAGCCCCCTTGCCGGCCGCGGGATGGAATTTGGCAGCGTCGACGGCCTGGCGGGGTCGGGCAGGCGGCAGACGACGGACGACGCCGATGCTGACGATGACGCCGACGCAGATGCCGACGCCGACTCCGACGCCGACGTCGCCGACGCCGACGCCGACGACGCCGACGCCGACGTCGACGACCTGGGGACAGAGCAGGCGTTGGAACAAAAACCGTGGGCCCCAGACGAGCAG